CCGCCATGAGGAGCTGGTTTACCTGCGCGGCCTTAGCGCGGGCGAGCTCCACGGAGTCGGCGCCCGAGAGCACGTCGTCGACGTACATGTTCTCGTGGATGACGCGGGCGGCTTCCGGGTAGAGGTGACCGTCGTCGTCGGCCAGCTGCTTAATAACCCTGAGCGCGAGAAAGGGGGCGCACGCTAGTCCGTAGGTCACCGTGCCGAGCTGGAACTGGCCTGGGACGTCGGTGGTGCTCCACAGGATTCTCTGGAAGTCGCGATCTTCGGGATGGACGATGATCTTGCGGTACATCTTTTCCACGTCGGCCAGAAAGACGTGGGAATAGCATCGCCAGCGAAGCAAGATGTCGGCGAGGTCGTGTTGCAGCTTCGGCCCGACAGTCGTGGACATGCAGGTAGTCGTTGAGTGACGTGCCCGCGGAGCTGCGGAGCGAACCGTTGAACACAACGCGGAGCTTGCTTGTTGAGGCGCCCTTGCGGAAGACGCCGTGGTGCGGCAGAAAACAGACGTGCGCTGGACGCACAGAGGAGGTGGGAGCGGGAGCCATGTGGCCGAGGACTTAAAGTACTCGCGCATAAAGTCCGTGTAGAGGCGCTTCAGCTCCAGGTCCGCCTCGAATCTCGAGCGCCTCCTGCGGAACGCGCGCGAGGCCGCAAAGTATGAGTCGCCGAGTGCCGGCGGGTCCGACCAGAAGGGGAGCCGCACGACGTATCGACCGGATGGTGATCGTGAGTGGGTTTGGACGAAGTGGCTTTCGCACTGGGCTTCACTTTCGCTTAACGGAGGCGGCCCGTGTGACGGAAGTTCCTCCTGAGCCCAGAAGCGAGACACGATTTCGTGAAGGTCGAGGTCCAGACCTCCGGATAGCGAGCTGAGCGCGCGGCCCTCCTGAGGGAGGGTTGCGCTAGTGACTGGGCCAAAGACGATCCAGCCGAGGGCCGTATGCTGGGCGACCGGCTGATCGACAGCGTCCCTGCGGACGGAGGCGCGGAGTAGTTGCCCGTAGACATCGGCCCCGAGGATCAGGTCGACGGCTCCCGGCTTGGCAAAGTCAGGGTCGGCGAGAGTTAGGCCGTCGATGTGCGTCCATGTCGCGGTCGGCACGGGGCCGGTCGGCAG